TCTTGGCAAGTTACCACTTTGTTGAGAAACTACCATTGAACATATTTTTCTCCTATGACGTACTAGAACTAAGAGGCCAGGCAGACAAAGTGATTTCACCCTAGTTGAGCACCAGAGAACACATCAGACAGCACACTGGGGGATTCAAATATCCACATTTCACAGTAAATTAACACCAGACCAATACATTCCTTCAAAGGCTAATTCATTAGGTGTGAGATAGCTACATGAGTTTTCACACCAGTAAATGAATATTATGCCTTAATACCTATCAGTTGGGCCATTTTCAAAACAAATGTGGTATACAGCTAGACCCTGAAACTACCGTCACAACTAAGTTACCATTAGAGCCTTATTCTTTCTGACCAAACTAGTGGTGCCAAGGTCCAAAGAACGAGGAATCTTCATGTGGGTCAATTAGAGAGATTAGGCCCTAATGATGGTTAAATTTTACTTAACTTCTCTTTAGTGAATACATTAATCTTGTCCTCTGCCTACAATGATAGTGCTTTCTGCATTAGAGAATGCAGAGACTAACTGCCAATGATTCATAGAAAATAAACACCTTCAGATGAAAAAGAACCTTCACGGAACCTAAAATTAAAAGCCAGTCTTCAGAGGCACACACACACACACACACACACACACACACACACACAAGTTCCCAGAATTAAAGAGTGCAGGGAGAAAACAATACATTTCTGGTGTCCAGCTCTGGACTCGTTAAGACAATTTGGGGAGAGGGAGATTTGCCTTCAAGCAGAGATTTTATTAAAAAAAAAAAAAGTCAAATTTCTGTAAGGCTCCTTAACATGAAACTTGCCACTCAGAAGAGTCGATGTATTTAACTTTATTCCTTATCTATCCCAGGGGATTAAAATGAAGCAAACACCTCAAACAATGCAGAGCTGGGTTCTGATGGTCGCTGTGCCCTCCGCTCCTTCCTGCAGTTGCAGCTGCTAGAGGTTTCAGTGGCCAGCAAGCACTGTGGAGCCCTGCAGAGCACAAACCCCAGTCTGCTGTCCCTCTCCAGTAATTAATCTTCGCTTGCCACAGGAGCCATCTTCTGCGGAGCTCAGCATTTGCCTGCAACTCTCTGACTTTTCCCTTTCTCATCCCCACTGCCTTTGTTTTTGGAAAGGAAGAGAAACGTCCTCGTGGCATATGAATGAACCTTGCTTGGGAGGGCACCTAAGCTTTGAATAAGCAACGGTGCATGTGAAATGCATGTGGCCTGCATCAATCCAAGCATCATTTCTCTCCCCTAAATAACTCAGAAAAGATATGCCAGCCTGTATTCCTTTCTGAAGATAATCCCAATATTTTTTCCCATTAATAATGAGATAACTCTTGAGTGAGTGCAATACTTGTTTAAAAGCTACCATAAGCATCATGTGAATATAGGCAATCTATTCATGCACAGGGGGAGAAAAAGAAAAAAAAGCAGTATTTTTAACTCTTTTACTCTTCACTGATGTAGTTTCCATGGAAACCATAACATTAAGCCAAGCAGCTACTTCGACATTACATAATACTGTCTAATGGTTAGTTACTCCTGAATAAGCGTGTTTATTCAGCAGCTTTTTGTCCATGTAATCAACCATATCTACTCTGATTAGATTAAACAGGGACCAGAGTCATGAAATCATTTATTGCAATGTGGTTTGTGCCTGTTCTTCATCTAGAAAATGGCAGACTGTGTTTGCCGAAGAAGAGGTGTCTGTGGAGGGTGCCTGTGAACTTGAGGGAAGAGAATCTGCAGCTGCGGAGACACACTATTGTAGATCTGATAAAGTCAGATGAAGGGGCTATGACGCTGATTCACGACGCAACTGCAAGCATTTGGTCCTCTGCCTCCTTTTAGCAAAAATTGGAGAGGGTTAGCTCCAATTATCAGAGAACCTGTGCATCTTAATAAAGCACCCGGGACAAAAGATACTTGCTACAGAAATTCTTGTTCCACTCAGGACCAGGATTTCTCCCCACATGAGCACTGGGGTTTGTTGCTTCATTACTGTTGATTGAAAAATTGTTTGGAGGGCATAATAGGCCACCAATTCCCTGTGACTCTGAGCTTTTTATTTGTGTTCTTTTTAATTACTTCATGAGACTATCCTTTGAGATCTTCTATGACTCCTTTCTCACATACAACTTTCAAAAAATATTCGTTGTCCCCAACTTTACAGAGGTATGACAATTAAAAATTGTATATGTTTAGTCAGAATGACAAATTGATGATTTGGTGTATTTGATACTGTGGAGTAGCCTGCTAAGCTGACCTGTTAGTATATCCATCCAAAAATTTCAATGATTGCCTTTATCTTAGGACAACTCGATATTTTATTCATTGTTTTCATTTGTTGAAGTACATATAAATTTTATCTATTTTTCAATGAAGTGAAATAATGCTCACCATAACTAGTTCTTGGAGGCAATGCTCTTTGCAGGATATAGATATTTGATTTTTTTCGTGAATGACAGGTATGAGTTAGAGGAAATGAATTTTCCTTCTTTTTCCCCTTTCCTTTATCTTTTGTCAATAATTAGTAACTTAAATAGACATTGGAAGAGTCTGCTGGGAATAAATGGAATCCAAAGACTAGCTTTTTAAAGTCACTTAAGTATTTCTATAGCTATATAACCAATTTAATGCATTTTCTGCTTACTCTTCTTTATATTCGTATTGAAAATGCAGTGATATAAACAAGAGATCCATAAAGCGAGGGGAAAAGTAAAGCTCAAATAGAGCCTATGAGACAAAGATCCCTCCAGAAACGCTACTGAGCTTGCTTTTTTTTTTAATTTATTTATTTATTAAGGATTTCTGCCTCGTCCCCACAACCGCTTCCCATTTCCCTCCCTCTCCCCCGATCAAGTCCCCCCCCCCATCTGCTCGAAGAGCAATCAGGGTTCCCTTTTGTTTTTATGGGTTTCTTGTGCTTTTTACTATTTTTCCTGTTTGTTCTGTCCTGTTTATTTTATCTTATTTATTTTTATTTTTTATTACTATTTTGAATGCCTGTTTGTTTTCTAATAAGAGAGACAAAGGGTGTAGATTTGGGTGGGTGGAGAAGTGGGGAGGATCTGGGAGAAGTAAGTGGAGGGAAAGACATAATCAGACTATATTGTTTAAAAAAATTTACTTTCAATTAAAAAGTAAAAAAAAATGCTTCATCTTGATTTAACATGGGTTGGTCATATGCATCTAGAAATTCACCTGTTTTTATTTTAATTTCACATATGTGTTCTGTACCTATATCCTTTCACTGACCCCCAACTCTTCCTTCCAACCCCTCCCCTGCTCCTTTCAAAGTCCTGGTGTGTGTGTATGTACGTGTGTGTGTGTGTGTGTGTGTGTGTGTGTGTGTGTGTGTGAATATACACAAAAAAAAAGAAAATGCAGTGATAACATATATAGTTAATTTAGAAAGAAGATAGATAAACTAAAATTCCATTAAAATCTCTCGAAATCCTCCTCCTACAAACAATGAATTTTCCCTTTTTTGAAGGGGTGGGGTGCAAAAGGCTAGGACATGCTGCTCGTTACTATAGGAAGAACCTTTGTTCCAGGCCTGCAGCTCCTTTCTTATAGCTGTTGATTCTCTCTCACTCCGTAAGCACAACACTTTCTATGTCAGAGTCCCAACTCTCTTTCTGTAGTCTTTGCATAGAGAAAAGCAGAAAAATTACTTTTCCTAGTTTTCTAGAGGTTTCCTTTTCCCCGCCCTCTTTTTGCTTCCACTAGTGCAGGCTCGTTTAGCACACATTCCCCTTTTCTGGTATGTTCTTCTCCTCCTCCTTCCTTCCTTCCCTTCTAGGCATCATGCCTTCCAGCCCCACTCCTCCTTGTGAAGATCCAGATTTACTGAGATACCAGACTATAAAGCACTTCCCACTGAATGCACCCTCCTCACCTCCACCCAACATAAGGGAACTCCTCATCTTCCTTTCACAGGGAAATGTAGTCTGTAGGATTCAGTCACACTACCCATGAAAGACACATCATTAATTGTTGACAAGCCTCCCTTCATTTATTAAACAGATGCTTATAAGGGTCTTATCCTGTCAAGCCAAGTGTAGTCCACAGAGGTGAAAAAGACCAATAAGAGGCAATGGCTAAAATTTCTCTTCCTCTGTCTTGAATATCCTTGTAGCCTCAGAACACACCAAAATCTCTGACTCACAGTTCACACTTCCTATTTCTTTTCAAACTTTCAGTTTTATTACATGCGATTACTAAAATTTTTGGAAAATAAAAACACATAAATTAGCATAAAGATAATACGAAGCAATTCATCTACACTTGTACTAAGCAAAAATTAACACTGTCCTGTTTTAGATATGTGTAGATTAGACAGTGATACAAATCATCTCAAAATAGGACCATGGGCAGGGGAGATGGCTCAGTCAGTGAAGCAATTGCTATAGAGCCTGAGGTCCTGAGTTCTGATCCCGGTAAAAACTTAGGTTTGGTGCCAATACTGAGGAGACAAAGACATGTTGATATAAGTGATCTTGAACCTGCTGGGAAACCAGCCTAGACAAATTAGTGAATTCTAAGTTCAATGTAGGCAAATCAATGAATTCTAGATTCGGTGAGAGACTCTGTCTCAGAATATAAGGTGGAAAGTATCTGAAGAAAAAAAACAAGTATTGACTTCTGACTTCTAATATGAATACACACAAACACACACACACACACACACACACACACACCAGGTTCATATGAGCTTTGTTTTCAGATGATCCACAAGAATCATCACCAGAATTCTGAATGACCTCATGCCATACCTAGCATAATAGCTTGTGAATGAGGAGACACACGTATGTACCACTGACTATAACCATCTTGGCCTTGGATTTACTTTTGTCTTTTTCTTGGAATTGCACCGATAGTGAAGTTTAGCTGATGTCTTTTACCAGGAAGCAAGAGCATAAAAGGAAGCAGGGAGTTGATTCCCCAAAGACCAAAGAACTCAAAGCACCCAGGGTGCTCTCAGTACTGTAGAACCTCCTGATTCACTCTGGGGGGCACAGCATATCCTCCAAAGGTGACAAGGCCCCTTTGCTGTGCACACCAATGTTTAACTAGCCAATACAGGCAGCAGAGGTTCTTGGGTTGGGAGTGGGGAGCTCACACATTCAAACAATGGAAACTACTCTCAACTTTTAGTATGTCTCTTTCATAGCCATTAGCCTCTGTCTATGGTGATGATGAATCATTGCCCTTGCTACTACTGATGGCCTATCCTGGGCATGATTAATTAATTTCTCATTTGAACATAAAAGATCCTAAACAACCTATCATCTGATTAAGTCTATTGGGATATTAAAAAGGCATTACGGTAGGCAGGCAAACACAACACAGTGCCGTATATTAAAAGAGAAGCTTGCTGCAGTCCTTTCTCTGGATACTGGGAAAGCATTTGAAGATAAAATTCAGATCTATTCCTGATGAAAATGTTCAGAGCTCTAGTCACTGTCCTCCCTGACCACACAAAACCCTGACAAAAGCAGCGTAAGGAATGGCAGGTCTCTTTGGGCTCACTGTTTGACCGCACAGTGCACAATGGTGGGGAAGGCAGGACCCTGGGGACTTGAAGCCTCTGGTCATGTCATGTGCAGTCAGGAAGCAGAGAGACATGAATGCTGGGGCTCAGTTCCCTTTCTGCTTTGTGTTCCATCCAAGACCCCAACCTTTCGGATGGTGCTGTCCACTTTCAGGGCGTATCTTCTCCCCTTATGTGACCCACCCTGGAAATATTCAGAGTTGTGTTCCCATGGTGATTCTAAACCCCATCACGTTGACAATCAAAATTAACCACCACATTCGGCAAAGCTCAGAATAAAAGGAAACCTTCCCATGGTATTTAAAAGTACCAGGGCTAGAAAGATGACTACGCACTTAAGAATACTGACTTCTCTTCCAGATGATCCAGGTTCAGTTCCCAGAACCTACATGGTGGCTTACAACTTCCTGTAACTCTGCTCCCCCCACCCCCCACGGGAGCCAATGCATTCATAGGCACCAGACACACACATTGTGCACAGACTTGCACACAAGCAAAATGCCCAAACACATGAAATAAAGTAAAAAAGTCAGTAAAACATTAGTAATACATTTCCCCATTATAATTTATTTATTTTATTTTTGCATGTTTTGCTAGCACCTTACCACTGAGCTATAACCATTTTGTCTTTGGTAAGACAGATTCCATTAATTTTCCCCAGGTAGGACTTGCACTATTGATTCTTTTACTTTAGACTCCCCATAAGCAGTCAAGATTCAAAGCCTGGGCTGCTATTCAAATTTTAATCTTAAAATGTTATTTTGTGCTAAATTAAATTGACTTTGTAAAAAAAAAAAAAAAAATGCAAATTATCAGCTTGCTGGTAAATTGGGCGTTGTTTCACCAATCTCGCCCAACAATTGGCTAAGAAAGAACAGGAAGGCTAAATTCTACAGAGGAACAGACTAAACTGTTATTATTCCTCACAATTATCACTATTGACTAATTAATATGTCAAATTTTCCATTCTAGAACAATTCTGTGGAACGAGTGTAAATATTATTCTTACTTATGCAAGGTTTCAGAGCTAGGAAAACACATAGCCAAGTTCTGACGTCAGGCAATCTGATATCAGGTCCCTGTATTTTATTACTGGATTAGTTCCTTTTCTGCTGCTGTGATAACACACCATGGCCAAAGGCAACTTCAGGAAGAGGGATTATTCTGGCTATGGTCCCAGAGGGATAAAATCAATACTAGCAGGAGAGGTCCAGCAGCAGGAAGAAGGCAGATCTCATTTTCATCCACATCAGGTGTTAGGGGACACAGGAAGCTGGGGGGGGGTACAGGAAGTCTGGGACACAGGAAGTGGGGAAGACACAGGAAATGGAGTGAGACTTAGGCTCTTAAAGCCAATACTCAGTGATACTCTTTCTTCAGCAAGGCTCCTCTTCCTAAAGTTTTCACAACAGACCCAAACCATACCACCAACTGGAAATCAAGCATTCAAATACGTGAGCTCATACAGGTACATCTCTCATTCAAACCTCCACAGTCCCCATCTCATAACTCCTAAATATAAATCCAAAATTAAAAATAAAGATGATTGGTAATGATCATAACTATGAAAGTAGGCTGCCCAGCTTCTGAGCCATTTAGCCATAAATGTGTAAAAACAAGCAAAAGAGACCGAGAAGCTTGTTTTCGGTTTTCCTCCTGATTTAACAATAATAAAACAAAAACATTCTTCATTAAAATAAGAAAAACTTTGAGAGCTGCAGAAGAATGCGAGACCTCTCCAATGGCTCCTAATTATGAAATTCAAACAAAGTATGTGTCTTGTTCTTTTCTCATTACATGAGACTCTATAGGTCAGGTAAAGCCTATAAAATTAATGAACTACAGTTCATCTGTATGCCCTGGAGCTTGGTAAGTATACCGAAAATGTCCTGTATTTTCCTTTAGCCTCACAAAATTAAAACTGGTCAGCAGGATTGTGAACATTGGAGAAAGGGAACCCTTCCAATAAAAAGACAGACTCACTAGAACACTTTACTATCCACAAAAGGACTCAGACCAGTACACATAACAAATGTGGGAGTCATGTGACAAACTAGCTCATAACATCATACTGAAGAAAAAAAAAACTGTACCAAATGTCTTATGTTACTAATATCAAGAATCATGCCTTCAGAGAGAAATGTTCTGAATTTCTTGAAGGCCAGACAACCCTCACTAGCAGATTAGATCTTACAATCGTAGAATGCACACCGGGCAAAAACCCTATGCATGTATGCAGTATGAGATGGCCTTATGCTCTAAGGCAGAATTGCTACTCACCAAACAATGATACTTGGGGGAAACTCTATGAATGGAATAATAGTGGAAATTGCTTTTCCTGGAAGACACAGCTCATCAGTCACCAAGCTACTCACACAAGTGACAAGCTGTATGAATATAAAGTGTGTGGGAAAAGTTTCCACTATACACCATCCTTTACTAGAGAAAACTCACTTGTATTTCCTCATCATCCCCCTCTTCTCTCCCTCTCCTCCTTTGGCCCTCCTATTCCAGTCTTTCCCCCTCATCCTTCCATAACTATTCTATTTTCCCTTCCTAAGGAGCTCTAACCCTCCCCACTAGGCCCTTACTCTATACCTAACCTCTGTGGTTCTATGGACTGTAGCTTGGTTACCACTGACGTAGCAGCTAACACTCACATATAAGCAAACGCATACCACACTTGTCTTTATGCATCTGGGTTGCCTCACTCAGGATAATTTTTTTTCTAGTTTCATCCATTTATCTGTGAATTTCTTCATATCATATCATAACTAAGTAATATTCCATTGTGCAAATGTACCACACTTTATTAGTTAAACTGTTGAAGGGCATCTAGGTTGTTTTCAATTTCTGGTTATTATGAATAGACCAGCAATGAACATGGTTGGACAAAACTCTCTGCAGTAGGATGAAGCATTATTTGAGTATATGCCCAAAAGTGGTATAATTGGATCTTGAGGTAGAGAGATTCCCATTTTCCTGAGGGATTGGCACCCTGATTTTCATAGTGACTATACAAACTTGCACTCCCACCATTTATAGATGTGTGTTCTCCTTACTCCATATCCTCACCAGCTGGAGCTGTCATTTGTTTTATTATTTTTTTTTTTTTGGATTTTTAAGACAGCGTTTCTCCATAGCTTTTTGGATCCTGTCCTAGAACTAGCTCTTGTAGACCAGGCTGGCCTCGAACTCACAGAGATCTGCCTGCCTCTGCCTCCCGAGTGCTGGGATTAAAGGCATGCGCCACCAACGCCCCGCCTGTTTTATTGATCTTAGTTATTCTGACCGGTATAAGATAAAATCTCAAAGTAGTTTTGATTTGCAGTTCCCTAATGGCTAAGGATGTTGAACATTTCTTTAAGTGTTTCTCAGCCATTTGATTATCAATTTTTGAGAATTCTCTAATTATACTTGTACACTACTTTTTTTTTTTTTTTTTTGGTTTTTCAAGACTGGGTTTCTCTGTGGCTTTGGAGCCTGTCCTGGCACTAGCTCTTGTAGACCAGGCTGGTCTCGAACTCACAGAGATCCGCCTGCCTCTGCCTCCCGAGTGCTGGGATTAAAGGCGTGCGCCACCACCGCCCGGCTTTGTACACTACTTTTTAAGTGAGTTGTTTCCTTGATTTCCAGGTCTTTCTTAATTCTTTATATATTTTGCATAATTCTCCTCTATTGGATGTGTAGTTAGCAAAAATATTTTCTCATTTTATAAACTGTCATTTTGTCTGAACAACGTCCTTTGCCATTCAGAGGCTTCTCAGTTTCATGAGAAGCTAATTGTTTATTTAATTAATAGAGATCCTATTTATTAATTGCTGATCTTAGTGCCTGTGATTCTGATGTTCTGTTAAGAGAGGGATTTTTTTTTTCTGTGTCAATGCATTAAAGGCTGTTCCCCAGCTTCTCTTCTAGTTAGTCTATCTGGTTTTACATTGAGATCTTTGATCCATTTGGAGTTGAATTCTGTGCAAGGTGCTAAATATGGATCTATTTGCATTCTTCTGCTTGCAGCCATCCAGTTTGATCGGGACCATTTGTTGAAGATGCTGCCTTTTTGCCTCTTTGTATTTCTGGCTTCTTTATCAAATCAAGTATCCATACGTGAGTGAATTTATGTCTGGGTCTTTACTTTTATTCCATTTATGGACATTGTTGTTTTGCCAACACTATACTGTTTTTATTACTATAGCTCTGTAGTACAACCTTAGGTCAGGCATGGTGATACTTTCAGTGGTTATTTTAATATTTGGGATTGTTTCAGTTATCCTGGTTTTTTTCTTTGTTTATTTGTTTCCATATAAAATTAAAATTATCATTTCAAGATCTGTGAAGAAATGTATTGGAATGTTTATTAAAACTGCAGATTGCTTTTTTCAGGATGGCCATTTTTACTATGTTTAATCATACTCATCTATGAGCATGGGAGATCTTTTCATTTTTTGATATTGTCTTCAGTTTTTTCCAAAGTCACACAAATCTTTCACTTGCTAAGTTAAAGTTATCCCAAGATATTTTATATTATTTGAGACTACTGTGAAAAATATTGTTTTCTTA